GGGGGGGGGGCAAAACAAGGGAGCAGATCTAGTATCAGCCAAACACAGTAAGACAAAGCAGCTCTTGTGTACTGGCACAGCTATCACGAGCACCGGGCGAGAGGCTTAACGGAACGGTTATCACAGACGTCACAACACACAGCCAATGCACACCGCCGACACACGAAGGGACCGACAAAACAGAACAAAAAAGACATCTTTCAGTAAAGACACTACTCCTATCCTTTGCTTTGAAACGTAAACAAGTAGGCAAGAGCAAAACCATAATAATTTAACTAGGGCCTACTCCCTCCCCTGTCAACTGCCACAATCAAACTAGCAGTCACATGGCAATAACCCCCCCCCCCCAACTTCCAACATAAAGAGGAAGAGAAGGGGTGGGGAGGGGGGGGGGGGGGAAAGAAAAGTCACATCTACAAAAGAAAAAACCCAACACTTTTCCTAAGAACAGTCCAGTAACCGACACTTGTGAACATAGCAGTACCCGCATCAATTATTAATTGTTACAAATGGGTACAGATTTCATATGTTGGGAAAAAGGGACAAGCAGTATAACCCACATTAATAAACACAAAAGAGAAACAATCAGTTAGAGCCTGCCTACACTCTGTTCAGAATTTGAGGGAACCAAGAATTTCTTAATTTTGATTTAACTGAGAGTCCCTTGCACTGACATTCAACAGTATAACAGAGAAATGGCTTCTTCATTTGCAATACAAAAAAACTTAGAGGAAAAAATATGGGAAAACAGAACTCCAGAAGCCCTCCTCTCTTTCTTCCTGGTCTGTAGCTTAAGTCCTCCTCTTCTTCTTCTTCTGAAACTGTGGCTTCCACGAGTGAGCATAGGTACGGGTGTTGAAGTGCAAAGCGCTTGGTCATATATACATTAGGGTAAGAGAGAAAAAAAAAAGGATTGTTTACAATTTTTTGGTGTGCTTTATCATAAATGGCAGGCTTCTGTCTATATTCTAGACATATCAGATTTTAAAAAACAACTGAAGAAAAACACTCCCAGTTTTCGTTGGTTTCATTCCATCTTACCATCACCCGTTTACATTACGGTTGATACAGGCCGCCTTGTCACAGGTCTTTGTGAGTCAAAAAATGCCCATGCAAGAAAGAGAGAGGGAGAGACAAAGAAAAGTTTTCTTTTTATAAAGTAAAAATATGAGCCACACTCGACTTGGGAGCCTCACTCAGACAGAAAGCGGGGGGAGGGATAAAAGGGACAGAGGCCGACGAGCAAGGCAGCAAGGCGGCACCAAACCAGGTGATCTGACCCGTGGGCAAAGTTGTTGGAAGTTCCAGGTAAATATGGTTTCCTCTGAAGCTTCTCTCATAAACTAGCACAAGTAGGCAGTAAATCATCACTTTCTAGTCAAATGAAATGGTCAGGCATATTTTTCGCTTTTGAACATGTCTAATAAACTACAACACAATTAACTGACAATATTTCGATCATCAACAAAAATTTAACTTCCAGATTTAAATATTTTAATTGACCTTTCGTAGGCAATTACTATTATTGCAACACTAAATATCTACATTAGACGTAAAGAAGTTTGATTTCTACTGACTGAGAGGCCAAGACTGGAAACCAAATTTACCACCAGAGACTCGGGTATAATGTGTGCCCATATGCTTGCAGTAAGTTGGATGCAGTCGTTACCTATTTAGAGAGTTTGGCGACAACTCTAGTGAGTGCCCGGTTCTCTTCCTTAAGTTTTTTGTTTTCCGCCTTCAGCTTTTCCACCAGCTGTAGGAATCGATGATACATGGGGTTATGAAGTTGCTGTTGTTGTGTGAAGTCAGATTCTCTACTAAACACAGGATAAGTCGTTTCAAAAGCTAGAGAGCACTTGATTCCCCGCAAGGACAACAGATAATCTGGACTCTTGCTTGGACTCAGACCATGGTCTTGCACTTGGCGTGCGCAATTTCCATTAGACAAGATACCATCCTCTGAAACCAGGCTACAAACACAACCAGAAGACTGACAAACCTGACAGGAGAGCCTAACACCAGAAAAACTGCCAACGGGAAGGAATGATCTTTGTTCATTCTCTCATTTAATCATTTAATGTTTAATTTGCTAAAATTATATCAAAAGACCTTTGTTCAAGCTTGGTCAAACCGACATAAAGAAGGACCTCTGATCCGGTAAACCTTTTTCATCCTCATCTGCATAATACAGGTACTACAGAGGTCATCAGGGTTGAAGGTACAAGATAAAATATTGCCCCTTTAAACATCGACTATCAATACCCAAGGACCAGATGACAGGATCCTTAGCCTTGAGACACCTTCAGAAAAAACCTCAATGACGCTGGGCCAAAAGTCCTGGCAATCAGGATGGGAATCACAAATAAATGGCACTGTCCAAACTACACTGGGTCATCCATCTACTACAGAAACTGTCACACCATCGTGATTACTATGCATGCTGCTTTATTACGTTTTCTACCAGGTTAAGGGGCCTTCAAGACAAATCATAAATGCATTAAGTCCCTCCACAACAAAAAAACCCTTCACTGTTGAAGAATAAAAAAATCCCTCCGCAATCATAGTGGAGTCATGACAACTGCTGGCATTATTTCTTTAGAACAGTTTCCATAGCAGAAAAAGCTTCAGCAATTTTTTAAATCAAAAGGCCTCTGTAAACAAAAAAAGCGTTCGATAAAGATATACCAACTATGAAAATGACAAGTGTACATTAATAAACACTGTACAAACACCTAGCACTAGCAATACCCATCCTGGACATGGAATAAAACTGTAACCTTTAAAATTAACAACACTGGGGATGACTATTTCTCAGAAAGTTATTTGTAAATGTATCCCAAACCTATGAAAAGTCTTTTCTCGCCATTTTACAGCTGTTCAAAAGAATGTACGTTATACACTGCCCTATGCACACAAGTAAAGTTACAAGCCTAAACTAAAAAAAGGAAGGCACAGGACAAGGTAGGAGACCCCATCCCAGCCACCCCTACAGCACCTTGAATGAGATCTGTTTGTGGGGGAAATTTGACCCTGCACCAGGGACCAAGGGATGCAGAGAAAAAGTCTATGTCAACCAAGAACAGACTCACAAACTGTCCGCTAAAGCACTACAGACTATCCTGATCCTATCCCAGGGACCAACGGATGCGGAGAGAACGTCAAAGTCAACCAGAAGCAGACTCACAAACTGTCTGCTAAAGCACTACAGAATATCTCGCAAAGTCACAAATAGAAGAAGCATCAGAAAAAAACTCCCCAGAGAGACAGAGACACACAGAGGCAGTCTTTAAATAAAAATCAGAAATATTTCGTGACATTCACATTTCACTGCAGTTGTAGCGAGGCAAGTGAAATCCAAAAAGTGCTTGATGCTAGCAACCTTCAAAGTGCAATAATGTATGATACTACAAAGATTCTACAAAACAAAAAATAGAAATAAAAATATCATGATTTGCATAGGGGTGATCACAACTAAATGCTAAAAAAAACACAAGTGAGGCATCTGCACTTTGTCTGGCACTACAGTAACTTCTTTCAAACTTGTACAAGTTGTTTCTTTCACTACCAATAAACACAACAGCTGTAATACCTGATGAATGCCTACTTGGTAAATTGTTGTCCGACCAAATTGACCAAATTGAAATGTATCGAATTGGAAACCACTTCATGTCCTGCTATAATCATCCCCCCCCCAAGCTTTGTTGACTTGGTGAACTGATATACAATTTCCATTAATGATCTTTCTTGAAATGTGTGGAATGGGGACCCACTGGTGTTTTGCTTTAATTATAATATGTCCCAAGCCGTTTTCTTTCCTTCTCACTGCTTGTATGTGAAAAACAATAAACAAATCCCTTCTCAGTTATTCCTAACATCTTCTATCTCACGACTCAGGAGATATTCACTCAAGCGATCCATTTACAAAAGACCAGCGAGTGTACACGTAAGTGAATAAATAAAGGTGCTAACAAAGCTTGTGAAAGAAAATCCAGTGAATAATAACACAAACACGCAAAAGCTATCATTGGGTACCTGTGTGACCACATGAAAGCATAGCTTACACAACACCACGGCATTTAAGATACTTTTTTTTATTCTTCAAAGCTACACAATACATGAGGACATACAGAACAAAGGAAATTGTAAGCAAGCCCTGCTGGGCATACATACCTTGAGTTCTTCCTCCATCTCCGACAATTTCCTTTCTAATGCTCTCTTGTCCTGAACAGATTAAAGAACAGACTATAAAATCCTGCAATTTCTATAAGGAGTTACATTTCACTTATCTGCGAAATATAATTAATCTTCCTAAATACCACTCTGAGCCTATACACAAAGAATGAAAGCTACTACTAAATTCAGATTTTCCTCAAGAAAGAGCTACACAGATAAATAATACTTATCAGTAAGAGTAATCATAGTAATATCTGCTTGGAGCTCACTTTCTTTAAGATTCACCACCCAGACAAATCATGTATTCATCTTCAGAAATATTGTGTAGACTAATATTCAGTCATTCTTATGAAACTTTTATTCTCAACTAAATATTTAAAATTTGAAGAAAAAAAAGAAAATAAAGAATTCATCATGGTCTAATTTCCTAAGAGCATCAACAAACCAATTTTGCAATTACGAGAGTCATTGTAACTCTTAAGTTAAAAAACCCAAAAGACAACAACAACAAAAGTTCCATCCATCCAACCACACAATGGCAGGTACTGACCCGGTCTGTGTTACGGACGGCATCCTTCTGTTTCATAACCTTGTCTAACTCTGTCTTTGCCTCAAGCAGATTTTTCTTCGTCTCTTCCAGTTCTTTCCGCAATCTGTCGTTTTCACTTTTTTCATCCTCGTATTTCTGAAAATTACAACCACGTCGGGGAAAAATAAAAAATAAACAGAAAAATATGGGTACACAGTACTTCCAACAGAAAACCATAAAAGAAGAAAATATTTTATCAGCCACAGTAGGCTCCATCGTGAATGTGCCTTTCCAATACGAATAATTACCAATGAACAATGAAAAACTCACCTGTTTTCTCAAACACACAATATTCTTGACCAGTCAGATCAAAAGCTAGCATACGTCATTCAACAAACTCTGTAAATCCAGGTTCCTTCTAAACTATATAACATTTCAATCTGCTGTATTTCCATCAAAATATTATAAACAATACAGGAGGTCCTGTACAACTTCAAGAAACAATTTCCAATTCAAACACAAAGATGCTAAATTGTGACTTTCAAAAATTTACACTTGATCCTGTTTTTACCAAGAGTTAATCTAAATTGACCAAAAACAGCTCTAAAAATCAGAGTCAAGACAGAATTTGCAGATGATCTGGCCTGAGACACATTGAACCTTCTGGAGAGGGTAGGGGGGGTGGGGGCATGATAGAAAAATTTCGCACGAACATGAGCCATTATAATAAAATTGAGAAGAAAAACTGTCAGCCAATAGATGAAAAGTCAAAGACATAGGGATGACGGGAAGGAGTAAGAAGGAAATGGATGCACCCAGAACATTGACTGTCAAACACAAAAATAGAACCCAGCATGTATGCGACATGGCTGCAAACCTGGAGACAAGCATTACCTTTTTGTAGTCTAGGTCGAGGGAGCCTGTAGATCGGGAGAATTCAGAGTATGAGACAGGTCGCTGGGAACGGTCAGATGATGGAACGTCTGAATTTGAGCTGTATCGGGAACTGAACCTTGAGGAGCCAAGAGCCTGGAAAACATGAAGAGACAAATGAGTACGTTCATTCGAATTTTATGACAGTGCTGTCTTCAGCACTACGGTCATGGAAGTAAACATCGAGAGGTTGACGATAACAATGTCATGTTGAGTTCACATACTAATAAAAGTCTAAAAACAGTTTAGTCATAGTTTATGGCAAGTCAATATTTTGGTAACGGCCCTGATATGCAAAGAACAGAGAGACAATAGTTACAAGGAAAATAAAAATAAAAATGAAAACCACATCATCACCAACAATCCCCAAAACTACTACACTGAAAGAGAAGCACCCCCTGACTTTCAAACAACTTAAGATTTATACACTCAGAAAATGTCAACCGAGTTACTGGCCCTATATTGTAAGATTTCCAACGCTAATTTCAGACAAAAATTTTTGTTGGTAAGAATAGAGACACAATAACAACAATTTAAAGCAGAGAAAAGCATAAAATACAAAAGAGATTAGAAGTAGTTGGGCCTACTAGTACCAGTGGTGCCCTTGAACAACTTATCAAATTACAATGACCGCCTTACAGCAAAAGAGTTAAGGTTGTTTGCCCACAAATAGAGACCTTTCAAGGCGACACACACAAGTTTCCAAATAACCAAATAAGAGGGGGAGGCGGTGGCAATAAAAAGAGTAGTAAAGCAGTAAATGACATGGACTCTTCTTAGAAACATCCCCCACCCAAAGAATAGAATAAGAGAGTAAGAAAGCAGTAGATAATATGAACTCTTCCAAGAACGCCCCACCCCCACCACAGACACACACAAATCGAATAGAATAGGAAAGCAGTAAATAATATGGACTCTTCCAAGATACACCCTGGACAAACACTCCCCAACCCTCCTCTGACCCTAATAAACACCCAGTTTCAGCCAGGAGACCCTAGGCACAACTGTTGAGGTGAACCAGCAAATCCGCCCTGAGATTGAGGGTCGGCACAGACTTGAGAGGCTCTTGACCAACTCTACAAAGACTCCACTCAACACTGGTACTTTGGCCAGTTTGCTTGTTTGTTGGAGTAAAGAGACGCACATCGACACAGTAATGGTAATTTAGTGCTGGGAAAAAGAAAGACAGACAGACAGAATCAACAGAGAGAAAGTAAAGAAGTGGGACCTACCAGTGGTGCCCTCCAACCTCCCACGCTCCTTCTTAAATTCCCCGGAATTGTTTTAGTTGAGGTTTTACAGCGCTCGCAACTGCATAAGGCCATATGAACGCCAAAAGATTAGAGGTGTTACAAGGGAGGAACAGACATAAAAAAATACGAAGGGGAGATTAGGACGATAGACGTCTGATAGGAAAGAAGGAGCAGACAACACCAGAGCACCTGCCAACCACCGATTTCGCCGGAATAAAGGTCACTATTGTAAGTTGGAGTACATGATTTGAAGTTACTACAGAGTAACATACAAAGAAAAAAGGGGGTGACATAAAGACCTAAGATGTTTGAAAGGAAGGGAAGGATGGAAGGAGCAAACGACACCAGTGCATCCACCCACCAACCACCCGCATTCCATTTAGAAAGGACAAGGAAAATAAACCTAGTGACCCAATTAGGATTCAAACCTCGGAACCTCTTTTTGGTAGACCCTAGTCCGCGACCAACTGCGCCACACCGACTCGCGCTACGTACATACACCAAAACTATGCCACGACCGTGGAGAAAAGTAAGTAAACTCTGTAATGCGGGCAACTCTGCTCGAGCCACAGTGTGTATGCGCGTGCGTACGTGCGTGAGAGTGTGCGCGCGCGTGTGCGTGTGTGTGCGCGAGGGAATGAGTGACGCTGTTTTTAGTCTCCACAGAGCACAATTTTAGCTCCCAAGTTTCTAACGTTCCCAGTGACTCATCCCGTTATGCCGAGGGGGGCGGCTAAAAATAGCCACGGCGGCGGCAGAGGCCGAGGCACGCGCACGTTCCTTCTCTACATTTGCCCCCCGACGTGAGAAAGGTAAGTAGCGGGTAATGCAGGTTTAACCCTTTGCTCTGTTTGCGCTGGCCGCCGAGGGGAGGAACTGACAGGAACGCAACGAGTAACACAACATTGACTTGACTTTGGGGTGGTGCGTTGTGTGTGGAGCAAATCACACCAGAGCACCCACCAACGAAACAACCACCCTACGATTAAGAGTTTGTGTGTGTGTGTGTGTGTGTACTGTGTGTGTGTTTGAGAGAGAGAGAGAGAGAGAGAGAGAAACATACAAACAGATAAAGAGAGGTTAATAATGGCTAGCTAAACAACACACCGGGCCAGCCAGCTGCTAAGCAACGATGACGCTTTGGACAAGCTACACGAGCCATCAGCCACCCACCCACCACCATCCTCGTCCCGTACAGGCCCGTCATAATACAGTGTACCACAGGGAGAGGACAATGCAGCTATGATACTATTGTCTATAACTACCGCTTTTAGTTTTAGTAAGTTTTACGGCACTTGCAACACAATAGATCATATAAGTGCCGAAGATCAGAGGTGTTACAAGAAGGTAAAAGATACAAAAAAAGGAGGAGAGAAAAGTCCGTTTCAGGAGAAGTTTTACAGCGCTCGCAACTGCATAAGGTCAAATTATCGCCAGAAGATAGGTGTTACAAGAGAGTAACAAACATAAAAAAGGAGGAGGGGAGATAAGGACACCAGAGCACCCGCCAACCACCCACGCTAGTAAGTTTTACGGTACTTGCAACACAATAGATCATAATATTATAAGTTCCGAAGATCAGAGGTGTTACAAGAAGGTATAAGACACAAAAAAAAGGAGGAGAGAAAAGGACGACAGATGTTTGACAGGAACGAAGGAGCACCCGCCAACCACCCATGTACTATGAGAGAATAGATCGTCTCACAACCACTCCTAATCACAATAAAAACAAACAAACAAACGACAACACACACACACACACATACACAACAACAACAGTCGCAGTATCTGTAACACATGATACAGCGGAATTCGTTAGTGACTTACGACGGGTCGGTATGATATCGACCAAATTCCGGTTGTTGTGTTTTTTTTTTGTTGCTTTTTTTGTTTTTGTTTTGGTAAGCAAAATTACATGGCAATTCAGCATGACATCAGCCGCAAGTCGCCAGGAATAAAATACATGTAGTATTTATGACACTGCAAATAATTAGAAAATACTGGTAACATCAGCACAACGAAAGAGGGATTAGTTTAGTTTTAGTAGAGGTTTTACGGCGCTCGCAGCTGCATAAGGTCATATGATCGCCAGAAGATTAGATTGTGTTACAAGAGAGTAACAAACGAGAGAGAGAGAGAGAGA